AGGTGTTAATCAAGTTAAATCCCAACAGCCAATCAGCAAGAAATGCTCTGTGCAGGTGGAAATGCTCTGTGCAGGTGTTAATCAAGTTAAATCCCTACAGCCAAATCAGCAAGAAGTATAGAGGAAAGCTGCATGCCTATTGGTTGATGCCCTGCATTCCATTGTGATGACTCATGCCCAGACGTGGTAAACACGGCACACTAACACAGTAATACATTTGCTATAACACAGCCAAAAAACTCAAATAAAACCATTCTAAAAGCCTGTATCACAAAAATTTAAAAACGCCTAGGGGTATTTGCCCACTGTACCTCCATACCAAATTTCAGGACCTTAGGCCCTAAAATGAAGAAGCTGAATCCATTTAAAAAATGGCAGGAGAAGAAGAAGGAGAAGAAACATCAGAAAAAGCAATATGGGTTCACCACCACTTCGTGGTGTGGTGAACCCATAAATATATCTGAATTCCAATCTCTTCTGGGAGGATTCCAGATTTTCCTAGGGAGATAGAATTTCCAATTTGTCCTAGGACAAGTAGGACAATCTTATAGGACAATCCCCGATTTTAAAGGGGGAAATTCTGATTGCACCAAAATGCTTGGTAAAATAGACTGATTTAGTTTACACCTAAACTTTCAATCAATTTCAGCATAGGTAAGTGAATATGTAAATCAGACTCAGATATTTGCATCAGGCTATTGTGTTATGTGGTTATCTGCCATCCACCTTCCGGCATGACAACAGACATCTTTGCCCATTTCCGGCATGTTGACCACTGTCAGAAGGCAACAAAAAGTTCTTGTTATGGGTTCACCACACCACGAAGTGGTGGTGAACCCATATTGCTTTTTCTGATGTTTCTTCTCCTCCTTCTCCTTCTCCTCCTTCTTCTTCTCCTGCCATTTTTAAAATGGATTCAGCTTCTTCATTTTAGGGCCTAAGGTCCTGAAATTTGGTATGGAGGTACAGTGGGCAAATACCCCTAGGCGTTTTTTAAATTTTTGTGATACAGGCTTTTAGAATGGTTTTATTTGAGTTTTTTGGCTGTGTTATAGCAAATGTATTACTGTGTTAGTGTGCCGTGTTTACCACGTCTGGGCATGAGTCATCACAATGGAATGCAGGGCATCAACCAATAGGCATGCAGCTTTCGTCTATACTTCTTGCTGATTGGCTGTTGGGATTTAACTTGATTAACACCTGCACAAAGCATTTCCACCTGCACAGAGCATTTCTTGCTGATTGGCTGTTGGGATTTAACTTGATTAACACCTGCACAGAGCATTTCCATACTGACAGTATGTCTTTATTCAAGTGTTTTGGTAGGTACTTCATGCTTTTCTGCTCCAGCATTGGAATGCGGGGCATGAACGTTTTTTTATTTATTTTG